TGGTGTTATTGTTATTCACTTCCCCTGCCAGTGGTCATAATGTTATGGCTGATCGGTGTATATATAAAAAATGTGACAGTTATATATGTGTATATATATATATACATTTATTGCCTTGTATTGTTCTTGAGTAACGGACTGAAATAAGTAAACTGTTTAATTTTCTAAATTCAACTACATTATAACAATTACAAACTTTGATGAAAGTTGATTTTGTGTGTTTATGGGTATGTGTGTTCATAAGGTAAGAACTTCAATATGAAAATAACTTCAGAGGCCTCTTTTCTCTCTCTCTCTTTTTTTTTTTCCTAATACTGACAATTTTTCAGCTTTGAAGCTGAATTAAAAACCCGATCAGACAGCATTCTCTTCTGTTGGTCTCAGGAGCCCTGCTACTCTGAAATTATGTTCTGTGTCTTAAAGATAAACTTAATGCAAAAAAAAAAAAAAAAAACCCACTGTACTGTACGGCCACCCTTATGGCAAACAATGCAAAGCAAATCCAATTACTGTAGACGGGACAAGTTTCTGAAATGTGCATTTCTGCCTTAAGGGTTATCTTTGTGAATATAAAAACATCAATTCAACCTTTTAACCTGCAAATGTTGTCAGCCTGAGAATGTTTCACCACCACACTGAGGCACAAGAAAAAGGTTTTTTGTACTGTGCTGAAGATTATTTGTTCTATTATTCCTGTTTTACATGTCAATACTTTTTTCAGTTTTATGGTAATAATGGTAATAACCTCATTTGAATTGTCAGCCAGAATAAGTGAGCGTGTGGAACAAGTATGGAAACAGTGCTTTGAATTCTGACTTCAGGAAAAGACAATCCCACTGTTTCTTTCCTTCTTTTGCACCTCCACCAACCTGGCAACCTGACATGGCCAATCACAGTGTGAGGTGGCCTTTCTCCGCTATAGACACATCCCCCCACTCACCTGTCATGGGGCCAAGTTCCCACAGCTGTAAGTTGAACCCATGGTGTCATTTTCTTTTGGATGACGTCATGTGGTGGGACTGTGACTGCGTTGCATGACATGGCATTGATTGACATCTCTAAACTCTATCTCTTTATATTCTGCCCTCCTTATATATATTTATATATATACTGTATATTGTATATTGGCAGTTTGTGGAGTGCAGTAAAGCAATGCCTTTCTTGGCTGGTACCTGTTGTACATAATGTAACTGACGTGTTGACTGGTTGGTTGACTATAACTGGAAGTGGCCTTTAATCCTTTGTGCTATTGTACTGTGTGCCCTTGTGATGTTTTACTTTTTCTTGTGGGGTTCATGTGTATGGATGTACTGTATTTTCTATTTCTCTATTTCTTCACATTCATATCAACAGTGTTTTCTCCAGAAATCTGTAATTTTTTTTTTTTTATGAAAGTCTGATTCTTTGCAAAAAAGGACCTTTTTCTCCCACCAGATCGACAGCTGTTTAGTTGAGAGATGGCCAAGATGACCCTATGTTTGTGTAGCCAATTAAATCTCCACTGTTCACGCAGAGAGCACAGGCAAATGTTGACACTCCACTTCTCTGTGGATTCCATCTGCACAGGGAGTACTTCTGCAAGATTGTTTTGTTTGCCTAACATGAGAATCACTTCCCTTTTATTTATTTATGAGGGTGCAAACCAATTACACCGTGATAGCAGAGCTGCAGGCAGAGCTGTAGACACACATGGCCAAAATCTGCCCACCACACAACCAGACTGTAAACACAGATGAATAAGCAGGGTGTAGAAAAAGAACAAAACACAAATACCTGGGATGGATATTTGCTGCTGCCTTTTGTTGTACTTTTTAAGTAGTATTATGCCAGCAGATAAATTAGCTCACATCTTTTTGCTGTTTGCATTTGAGATAATTGTTATTCTGTCTGTAAAACAAAAAGGACAGCAAAAGGATTCACAGTGAAAAAGGTCCTTTCTTTGCAAGAGTTTGTTTCTATCCCTCCAGGCCAAACCCTGATAAGAGTTAGTCATTTTCATCGAACTCTTTCTGCCCTATTCTTTCAGAAGCCCTGCAGGCGACTCTTCCCTCCTGTAGTCTATCCAATGAACTCAGGGGGGTGTCTAGCCAGGCAAGCCAGGAGGGATAAGGGCTTTCTGGCATCGCATATGCCTTCTAACTGCCAGGTGTCTTTTATAGAGCCATCCAAGTAGGTGGCAGTGTGAGGAGAGGGCATAGTGTTGGGCCAAAAAGCTTTTGAAAAAAATGAACATGAATTCTTTATTATCTGACAAAGTTGGAGAGTGAAGTAGTTGTGATGTTTTCAAGTTCTTTACTTGGGGTAAAAAAAAAAGATTTATTTTAAAGCTACTGTGTGTTTCTTTTGCTTTGTGGCAGATGTATAGTGAGAATTGCTAGTGGCTAAAAAAGAGGGCATCTGTAATCGGGACTGTTAGTGCTTTATGCTGCTAATGGCTCAGCTCGCACATAAGAAATAAGTTAGAATGTCTGCTCCCGCATCTAAAAAGCAGATCTATTATGAAATGGTAACAAGCTCATTTTCAAGAATGGAAAGGTATAACAAAGAGAGTCTGGGCGCATGTTACCGTCACAAAGTCAGACCCTTTCATGTTTTCTCCCAGAGTGATTTGCTGTGACTTCATAGCCTTTCTTCATATTAGTGATGATAGGCTGTAAACTAGATCTTTTTATATCTAAAGCTAACAGCATGGACACATTTATTAACAGACCAGCACAAAGGCAGGGGAGATGGAGAGGGGAGAGGTTGGTTTGCCATGCTAATTAGAGGCTATTTCTTGATTTCTTTTTTTTTTTTTCATATTGTCAACCATCATATTTTCTGTCATTATAATCATTACACAATTTCAACACACTCTCTCACACACATCTTGTTTTCTTTGTTTCCATTTTGATGGTTGTATTTTGTTTGTAATGAATAATGAACAATAAGAAGAATGACAGCAACATCTCAGGCAACATTCAGCTGCTTTTTTTTTAATGCAGGGAGATGCAGTCAGTTTAAATTAGGTCTTCCTTGGATTAGTGCTGTCACAGTGTAGATGTCTGTTCCATATGGTTTAAACACAAATCTCCCACCCCACCTTTAGCCCACTTATTTCTGGTTTTGATTGACACACTCCTCGTTTTTTCCTTCTTCCCGTCTGTTTCTCATGCTGTTGGCTGTGCCTGTCAGTCTGTGTGATAACCAGGAGCCAGCAACCCTAAGCATGTTTGCTGCAGCCTCACTGAATCCACTCTCCTTTTTCTCCCCCATCTCTCTCTCTCTCTCTCTCTCTGTCACAGGATGAAGGGCCACAACACCTTATTTCCACAAGTGCAGTAAAAGTACAAAGACTTCTTGCTCTGCTACATATCATGAAGGAAGGGTGGTCCCTTGATCCTGCTGGAAACCCGCTGAAAGATTGGGTGACTGAGAGAAGCATCCCAGAGTTGTTGTTGTTGTTGTTTTTTAAGTTCAGTTTTTTGTTTTTCTTCGCAAATGCCTCTTTTCCCTGTTTTGCTTTGGCGTCAGTGGGAGAAGATTTTTTGCAGAGACCAACTTTTTGCTGCTGTTTTTTAGACATCATGGGGAAAAAAAAACCTTTATAGACTCATTATGCTCAAAGCATGCATACTGACATGGGATATAAATAAACCCACTTAAACGCAGATAACAAACCAAACATACACATCTAGAGATGCTACAGATAAAACAATGAAAAAAGAAAAAAAAAGATAATCTACTTTGTACATGTATAGATACGTGCAAATGCCAACTCAAGTACCGCATCAGACACATGTGTGCACACACCTACACTCACACCTACACACACACACACCAGCCTGCTGCCAATTTTGGTTTTTGTGCCTCCACAGGTGTTGTGCTCTGTGACAGGGCAAGCTCTGGATTGAAGAAAACAAGAAGAAGAGGAGAATCCAGGATAATTTACATGCATCATTCCTTAGGAAATAGGGACCAAAGGACTAAACGCTTTTTAAAAGAATATAAATATATAAATATATATTTAAAAACTCATACCTTGTAGCTGCAAGTATTACAATTTACTCGTAGTCAAAAAATCATTAAATCAATATCCAGTGGCCTACTGCAAGAACGAATAAAAGAAAACGGAAATAATGTACCTATAAAAAAGACATGGAATCGTAGTGTAGGGGCTGGTTGTTTGCTCTGGATGCTGATTTAGCACCGGGTTGTAGAATATTACAGTAGACTAGAAGAAAATGTAGATTTGCTAACTTTTGCTGTTGTTTAAAAAAAAAAAAAAAATACTTGAAGTCTTAATGAAAAGGGAGCAAACGGAGGGAGAAAAAGGAAACATTCATCTGCCCCTGTAAGCAACAAATCTCGTTCTCTTGGATGCTATGGTATCAGCCACTGGATATCTCGGCCATCATGATGTACAAGTCACCACATTCTCTGACAGCTATGAACAGACTGCTTCAGAAGGGGAAAGATGAATGATAAGAGGGAAAGAAAGAAGAATGAACTTACTAATGTCTGTGCTGGACAGGAGTCAGACGTTTAAGGCTTCTCACTAGCCTTGTGTTCAAGCGACAATCCACTGTAAAGACCAAGCAAAATGGACATGGGGTGTCTTCTGTTGTTTTATTTATTTATTTTTTTTCTTGATCTTTTGTATTGCAACATGAAGTGTGAATTATAAAGCATCACAATGTTAAAAGGCAAAGGATGAATGGACAAATGGATGGTTATGAGGGCAAAAGAAAGGGAGGAGGAGTAAGGTGACAGCTACTGAAAACTGCCAGCAGAATGAACTCTGTACAAATGATTTGGCACTTAGGAGGCTGGAATCCCTCAAGAAAAAAACAAGTATTCCCAATGTAAACAACCAGGAAAGTGACATGCCAAGGATATGTGTGTCTGCTGGAGCTGCTGAAAACTCCACATAGGGAAAAAAGAAAAAAAAGCATTGTGTCTCTTGGCAGATACAAACAAACAAACATTTCTCTGAAGACAAACTCAATTTACTATATTGATGGCACAGGCTTTTAGAGCTCATTTAACTCTGTCAAATATGATGTAAATTCCACTGTTAACATTTTCCCTGACTTGCTTTCTTCATGCATTATACATAGAGCCAATACAACATATACAACTTAAACAGACTATATATAAATTAACAGTCACTCTACCCTTCATTCAGGTTGCCTGTAGCCTCTCTGACACTGATGACAGGCAGAACAGAGTAAAGCACTCCCGTACAGTCATGTTTTGACTTAAGGGTCCTGTAGCCTTTATTTTGACTGTTTTGCAGTTTCGGGTGAAGGCTCTTCTCTAAAAGCAGATCAATATGTTTGGAATGATTTTTGAGGGATTTTCCCAATTTTCTCTGTTGAACACCAGCTCTCATACATACACCAGCCCTTGGAGGACTGACAGCTGGCAGAAAGAGGCTACACCAGGCAAGAAGAAGAGAGGGAGAGAGATAAAGAAACAAAGTAAAGCAAACATCACACTAAGATCATTTTAACCGATGCTTCTCGAATCATGCCCAATAACTTAAAGAGCCCATGTCATGTTTTTCCTTGGTTTTTTTTTTTGCCTTATCTACTACGTTACATCAGTTATCATCTTAGATGTGACCTAAGCCTTAAAAAATGAGGTGTGCATATGTTCTAGTACTTCTATGCACAAGCATCTCGTCCCGCAAACTCTTGCTCGTGAGACTTTTTTCTAACAAAATTAAGTATTACATGATAGGATTTCCTTGAATGGTCATAATCTACAGGCAGCTGCGTGTTCATGTGAGCTTGCCTGACATCCACTGGTGCTATTGTAAAAGCGGAATATTTTGACTGCGCCCAGTATAGTGGATATATTTTACCACCTGCTGCTGCACTGTGACCAGAGGATGTGGAGAAAAGCACAGGACCTGAGGTTAGTGCATGTCCAGGAATGTTCCTGTACAGGGACTCGCTGTTTTACCTGACCAGGACAGTAAAGCATCCTGGGGCAGTGAATGAGCAATGCTGGGTTCCCCCAGAGCACAGTACCTGTTTGTTTTGATTACTTGCAGCCAGTGTGTCTGCCACATGTGATGTGAGTTAACGAGGGGATTAATGATCCATGATGTTATTGTCAGCGCTATGCTACCTGTTAATTTTACTACTTTGTGAATGTATGTGGTCGTGTGAGGGAATATGCAGCGACCACCGGTTGGATTTACCGACCTTGGAGCTTCTTGAAAGGGAGTGTTGTTTCCACTACTTGGTGGGACTTAATGGTAACTTTAAAAAAATGCACGTTGCATGTCTGTTAATGCGTTGTTTCTGTAATGTTAGATAGAATTGCTGTAAGGCTGGAGAAGTTACTATGTCTGCATTATGCCAGTTAAAATATGGGGTTTCTCAATTACCTGCTTTGTTTAGAATGTTACACATCTCTTTTCATCAGTACATATACAGTCGTTTGCCTATCTATGGAGGAGAAATTTAAATGAATTAATGTCCTTGTAGTTCATTGTGTTGTTCACTTTCGATGCAACACTGGCAGCAGGGGTTTTGTGCGTTCATCAACTATCCTCTCATTTTTAGGAAGAGGCTCTTGGGTTTTATCATTCTGAAATAATTAATGGTAAATGGTCTTATATTTGTATAGCGCCTTTTTATGCTTTACACCACAGTCTAAAGCGCTTTCACACTATTTGGCCATTCACACACCGGTAGCAACTGGGGGTTCAATGTCTTGCTCAAGGCCACTTCGACATGTTGACTGGACAAGCCAGGAATCGAACTGCTAATCCTCTGGTTAGGAAATGACCTGCTCTACCTCCTGAGCCACAGCCGCCTCCTTTTGCTTTACTAATTACCGACTATTTGGAGTTATGAGAGGTGCAAAGTTAATCTAGAGGTACCCAAGATTAAACGTTAAATGGCTGGAAATGAACATGCCATGGGCTCTTTAACTGATAAGATTATAAACTCTATTGAAACATTTGGTGACAAACTGTGTCATTTTCTTTAAAAAGAATAGGATTAAAAAGTTTAAACAGGACTGAAATTTGGTAGTTTGGGCTCCAGCCCAATCGGTTCCTGTTTACTACTGGAGACTCTTCTTCTTGCCATTCCTTCCCTCTTTATTTCTTCTTTCTTTAACAGACCTATTTCCAATCACTGACGGATGGACCGATAAAGTGTGCCAGCAGATTCTTGAGTGTTTAATGTACTGCCATTTTTTGTCATTTAAATAAGCATGAAGGTCTTGAGTTTCTGATATCAGTATGCCAGGTACCCCCTTCTCTGTCCCCTGTCCTAACAGCAGCCATGCCTTTCCAAACCTCGGCCCAACTGTTCAGCTCCTCTCCCATTAGAATAACATTTTCAAACCTGGCTAATGTCTGCACTCACTACCCTTCAATTATCTCCTGCACCGTATTAGACATGCTATTTCACCTTTCCCTCTAATCACACTGTAATCACCAGGCTCTATACATTAGCAGCAACCAAGTGAAAAATCACCAGGATAATCACTTGGACCAAATGATGGGAGAGATGGTCCCCTGCATGCACATGGATGACAGAAGGAAGATTAGAGAGAATTATGTTTGTGCCTACTCCCTGGCAAGGCTGCTGACAGCTGACCTGGCACCAATAATACTGCCAAATTTACCCGAATAGGCGATGGAGGGAGTAGGATAAAACCTTCCATATCATAGCGAGGTGTTGTAGAGTAGACTGACACTACCAAAAATTAAAAAACAAAGGTGGTTGTGGTGGTAAAATCTTTGAAAACTATTGTCATGGTTTGTTTGTTTGTTTTTTGGGTTCTGGCCAAATTGGCCAAATTAGGTCGAAAGCAACAATTTCACTCTGTTCTACAGAAGCAGCTGCTGTGAGTTCAGTGTTAATGTGCTTCATCTTTCAGCACATAATTGTGTCTCAACAGTTTCTATAGAGCTTCTTTTTGTAAACTTTATATATACAAAATAACTTTCTCCACACTTCTTTCTTTTTCTTGTATGTATCCTTGCTGGGATGTCTCCAAAACACAGTACTGTTCAACAATCATAGAACATTTGTTAAGCACAGTAGTCCTTCAATTTAAAAATAATGCTCATCAAAATGACAGAGTTTAAAAAAATGCCTTAAAATACATATAAGGTAAAACCCAGCTGTCCTTTCTCGGCCCTCAATCAAACATTTGGTGGAAAAGCAGGAAACGTCATGAATAAATGTGACGTACACTGTAGGTCAAAACAAAGGCATGTTCTGTAAACCATTTGTGGTCATTACTCATGTGAAAACAACCAATCAATAGGAAATCTAATGTTGCATCAGCAATGAAATTCCTTGTGTTTGTCTCAGCTATTTTTAATGTACGTTCTGCAAGTGGCATTTTGTCAGATTGAACATGAACCTGGCATGCCTGCTCCACTGATCTTCTCTGTTTTATACCAGATGCTGTACTAGTTCCCACTGCTAATGGCAGGTTGAGTGTCCAGTGAGCCAACATCCAGCCTAGCCTAGTATCCTGCTGTCTGCTTGGCTAACGGTGCATTTCTGCTGTGCCAAGACTAAATTAGGCAATGGGAAATCAGAACTTCCAACACTTTGACAAGGGTGCTCTTATTACTTTTACTTTGTATTAAAAACTGAAATAGCTGTATGACATGTTACAAAACTACAGAAACAAGAAAAAAAGTAGATCTTGTCATTCCCCTTTTCTTGACACACATCTCTTCCTGCCTTGTTCCCAGCCCCAGTCTTGTCTGGTTTTCAGTCCAGGCTGTGTTTCACCTCTAAGAGGAATGACCAGTGTCAAATGAGCAGACACTCAATGAGCTGTTGACAAACTGCCATTTGATATTCCTGCAAATTTAAGAAAAGAAAGCAACTTAGCATTTTATTCTAGGGAAATCTGTATGAATCTAATTAAAGTGAAAATATTCAGCATTTTCTGTAAGGCTAAAGCTATAAGCCCAAATTAAAAGCTAAACCCACCCCCACACACACGCACACACAAACACTTCTTTCTATAATGTATTTATTTAGCATCTCACTATCTGTACTATAAGTTGTACACAAGAATATACACAAGGACACACAAGTGTAGCGAGTTTTTTTTTTTTTCAGTGAGCTTTTCGACAACTTGCTTCTCTGCCTCTGATGCATGTACCCACTCTGACCTTGTGTCATTAAATGAGAGACTGGGAGGTATATACATAGTATATCCATTTCCTAAACTGCCACCACACCACTGCTCACAAGGTCAGTTCTCAAGAGGAGAATGTATCCTTAGAGGACCCAAACCAGGGGCCAAGCAGAGAAGAGCTAGAGCGTGTCTATGAATCTCCAGCCCCCTGGGTGCATAACACTCACCCTAAAATAGCAGCGATTGTCAAGGAAAGGAAGTGAAATGTAATTGACTGAAAGTAGAGAGATAATTAAAGGAACTTGTTGGACAGGAGGGAAGAAATTAATGCCTCTCATTTAATAGCTGCTTTGGGAGAGAGCTTTTCCGTCATCTCACTCTAGTGCAGAGAGGGTTTTGCTGTGGAAATAGGATTTTGTATGGAAAAAGGTGGAGGTGAAAATAGGCACTGGGTGGCGGGGAGCTGTGTGCTAAACTGAAACTCCACAAAATCACTCCCAGTACTCAGGGCATCAGGCGCTATGATGTCACGATTAGTGGAGAGGTTCAGAGCCTTGCCTTACCCCTGATCCTGAGGGAGGTCGAGCAGAATCGCAAATACAAGGTCAGTGGGAGCTGTAAGATCACATCCCAGCATGGGGAGTGCTGAGCCAGCAGAAGGGCTGATGAACCACCTAATTCGTGCTTTGGATTTACAGTGTCATTATACATTTCCAAGA